ATATATATATATATATATATATATATATATTTAATACTGTATTTGGTAAAGGGGAATGAAAGAAAAGAGGGAAGAAATACAAAGAACTATAAAAAAATTACAAAATAAATACCAAATTTGTATCTTAAAAATGAGATAGATTGAGGTGAATAAAGATAAAGAAATTAGAAAAAAATAGATTTAACATTATATGACACCAAAAGAAAAAAAATAGAATTATAAGTATGATAGTTTAAAGATATGCGATGGGAATAACTATATAATTGAATAATAATATGTATTTTGATTATTAAGTGATATTATGTATTAACATTATATGACTGTATAAAGAAAAGAAAAACTATAGATGTTACGGTAAAACAAGAAAAAAAGTATATTTAAAGTAAATTTCTTTCCCTTCTATTATCATATGTTAATCAAGACAACATAGATATGTAATAAGTTTTAATATTTGATTGTTTTAAATGTGTGAAATTACAAGTTCTTACTAACGATGTATTTAATACAGTAAGAAGTTTAATAAATTGGCTACAAATAATACTATAACTTTTTACTAACGATGTGATTGGATGAGAAAAAAGTAAATACACATGAAAATAAATTTTTGTTTAGTTAAAGAGAGAAGAAAATAATGTATTTTTTTAATCTTAAATTCAATTTTTTTTTCCTTTCCAATCAAATTTTTTTATTAACAATGTATTTTTTTATCTCATTGAAAATAAAATAAAAATAAAAAATTTAAAATTAATATATATTATTTAATTAAAGTGTTACCTTTTTTTCCCTTTCTATTCCCTCATTTTTCTCCTTGCCAACCAAATGGATTGGATGCGAATCATGTTATAATGTTAAAAGATGATACAACATTAACATGTTAACGTTAGATCGATTATTTTATTTATCTACTTTGTAGGTTAACATTATTTATTTATTAAAAATATCATTTAATAATTAATATACTAAAAATAGTTTATAATTATTATTACAATATCTAATTAATTGATGAATTCAATTGATACTTAATATTAGTCCTTGTTCACGTACAATATTTATTTAACTCTTATCTCATTAGAAAATTAATATCTTTTTTTTTTTCAGCCATTTGTAACCAAGAGTAGTCTTTTTTCACTATCGGTCAAACTAGATTTTTTTTATATAATAAGTACACAAATTTATTATCCAATTCTTTTTCTATTAATATAAGTCATGCATCTGCTTATCAATATAATTTGGGTTATTTTATTTTATATTTTCAGCACGTTACTGAATCGAGAAAATAAAGTCAAAATTAAATAAGTTAGAGCCCATCAGGTATATGCAAACAAATACGTTCGAGAAACATATGACAAATATGATCAGTGTATATATTATAGTCCATTCGACTGATTAATCAATTTTTTTTTATTAAAATCAATTATTGCTGAAACTGGTAAATATTTTGTATTAGTAGTATTGTTTGAACTTCGAAATAAGATGATAAAGATTAGTAATGTATTTGTTAATATTTTTATTATAGGTTAAAATTATAAATTTTGAAATATGTCATTTATCATTTAAATTTTTTAATAAATTTTAACTATCAATAAAAATTATTAATAATATCTTACAAAATAATTTTAAGTAAATTTATATGCTAGTCTCCAAATTTATGATGCATCATAGTACTCTCTGTTATTAAAAAAAATAATTAAAAATAAAATTTCTTTTATTACGGTAGTCGTACTTACAATTTATTCTTATTATTTTATTTACTCAAACGTTACTTTTGAGTTTTTCTTTATCAATAAAATAAAAGGATAATTATAACAAGGTTTAAATATGTTGTTGCTCTCTCAAATTTACGGTAAATATATCTTTATCTCTCAAATTTAAAATTATTATTTTTAGTCTCTGTAATTTTAAAAAATCTTATTTTAATCTTTATATTTAAATTTTGTTAAAAAATTTATCAAACATTATTGCTTAAAATCTATCTATTGATATTTCTATTAGTGAAAATATCACATTAAATCCAGTTAATATTGGATAACTGTTTTAATTAGTCACTTTTAAATATGTTATTAGTGATCTAAGAAACTAAAATAAATTTTTTAAAAATCATAAAAATTAAAAACAATAATTTTAAATTTAAAAAAAAAAATAAATTTATCTTAAATTTAAGAGACTAAAAATATATTTAAGTCTTATAATAATTATAAAATTTAATTAGAATCGAATTTGTTGATATATGATATTATTATTCCATTCCAGATGTAAAAAGTGAAGTGGACTATTTGAGTAAAAAAAGAATGAAAGCATGAGAAAATATTTGGGTGGAAAATACAGTATGTAAGAAAGAAGGTGTTGTACAACTTCCCATGCACGTCCAAATGGCACGGCACCACAGAGAGCGTATAACTTGGCACACGGGTAACCTTAGAGGGAAACACAATGTGGGCCCCACACAGGAAAAAAAAGGGTAGAAAGGTCTTTCCGGCATTGGAACAAGGGCAGATCTGTCACTGCCCGCATTCACACTAAGAAAAGTATTTTCATGGGGTCTTACACAGTGATCATGACGACGTTGGCGTATGTTGCAGTGGTCATAAGTCTTTGTAGAGAGAGAGAGTGAAAAAGTTGAGTGAGAGAAACAAAGGTCAAACCGAGGCAGTTGAGTAATTCTAACACCCATTATAATTATATTGCCAATTGCATTGCATTTGCATAGGTGTAATCATTTCGTAGAACCTCAGTGCATACGAGATCAGAACCCTCCCCATGTTCCCTTTTTTCTTTTTTTATTTATCTTGCCAACTCAAAGTACAGCAACCACCATATATCAGGTATTATCAGTGTGTTTCTGTGTGACTCCTAAGGAATTTTCACAGCCCCTACTACCCATATCTTCTTCGTGATATTCCTCTCCCTTCTTTTCTTCTTCTCTCTCGTTTTTCTTTCGTGGGGAGCAAAAAAAAAAAAAAGCCTTTGCTTTCTTTCTTTTCTTTTCTCTTTCTCTGATATACCAGAGGTGGTGGTAACAAGCCAAGCCAAAGACCCTTTTGGTGTTTCTGGAAGAAGCTTAAGAAAAGCGAGGGACTTTTTGGCTCTACCAAGGGTTTGGATATATTAGACTAAATGGGTAGTTGTGGAAGAGAAGGAGCAGTGAGACAATATATAAGATCGAAGGTTCCTCGTTTAAGGTGGACTCCTGAGCTGCACCGTTGCTTTGTTCATGCTATTGATAGCCTTGGAGGTCATCATAGTAAGTTTTGTCTTTTTATTTTATTTTATTATATTTAGATCCGTTTTTACTATGATGAATTTTGTCATCATTTTTTTTTTTGTTAACTTTATAGAGGCTACGCCGAAGCTTGTTCTTCAGCTGATGGATGTTAAGGGGCTCACAATTTCACACGTGAAGAGCCATCTTCAGGTTAGGAACGTAGAATAATGTTTTTTTATTTTTTGAGTCAAGATTTTGGTGATGCATGCTTATGGGGTTTCTCTCTTTATCCAAACAGATGTACAGAAGCATGAGGGGTGACTTGGGCAGACAAGGTACTGAACGTTCTAGAGATCATGGCTTCTCAACGCTTATAGTAATCCTATATGTCTGTCATATATTCATGTCATACGTGGGAGCTTTAGACCATGCTTTGTGCATTCAATGCTGATTGTTGTTTCTTCTCTTGGTACTTATTTGAACTTCAAAAACAAAGCCTATGAACTCACACTTATACACAAGTTTGGGAAATCCGCCACTGAGTAGCACATTTATTAGCCTTTTCTATGCCAAAATAGTGTAGCAAGAAAGAAAAAGCAATGTCCTTTTAAATCTTCCTCTAATGGCATTTTGATGAAATCCACAATTTTTTTTCTTATATGTTTTCTCTCCATACACAACTAAGTTCGTTAGTGGCTTCAAAATACAAAATATCATTAATTGTTGCATTAAGAAAAAAAGAAATCTCATTTTTTTTATAATGTGTTTGTCAGGTAGGACGCCCTCCCAACATAGAAACCAATCTTTTGAGGAGCATGATGATGGGTGTGTTGATGAAGTGAATGATGTTGGTGTTGAGTACTCATGTTCGAAATCCATGGGAAGAGAATCTGATTCCTTCTTCGGGCACAGTAATCTCCCTCCAAAAAGGTCAGCATAATATAGCTTTATTTTTCCTCCCCTTGAAATAATTTCAGACTTTTCAAACGTCAAAAAAAGTGGTGGTGTGTGTGGGAGAGAAGTGTTATTTGGTTTGATTTTTTCGCTTTACTGAGCCAACTTTAACTTTTTTGCTTCTTTTGAAATTCCTTTTGGTTTGGATTCTCTCCTCAGAGCAAGATTCGAGACGAGGAGTTCGATCTCAGAGAGCCTGCAATGCAGCCAAAGATTATGTGATGCAGTTCCAAATCCGTACTGTCTTTATGATTATCTGCAGCCCATGGCTGAGCACAAGGGAATAAAAGAGTTATGTGAAGCTTCAGCATGCCAGACACAACCCCATTCCTCTCTGCTACCTAATTTTCCAAACCTCACCTCATTCAAATTTCCTAACCCACAATCTGATTTCCTCCAGGTACTAAAACTAACCTCCCTTCTCTCTTTTCTTTTGTTCCACTTTATTAATTTGTATATGGACAAGTTAAGATAAAAGGTTAAATAAAATAAGATATTCATGTATGTTATACTGTAGAAGCTCATGTCCTTATAGTTTCTTATATATCGTGGATAAGGTATTTTTAACTTGTAAACCAAAATTTAATTTATAGAATTATTGCCGTCGTTAAGTAGTAGCCATTCGTGTCTTTTGATGAAGTTGGTCAAGACTCAAATTTAGGTATTCGTTGTGAAATATTCACATTGTGAGAGACTTGTTGGTGTATTTATTTTGTAACGATGGCATTAAAAATGATTTATTTTACTTTGTTATTTTCAAGGTATTGAGAAGGCATATCTATTTATTTTAGTGCTAGTTATTTTTTGGCTGGGGTGGAGTGTGATGTTGGTTGTGGATTTTAATTTTATTTAATTATGTCATACATATGCCAAGATAACCAATCCATGAGTTGGAAACGCTCCACTTTTGTTCAGGAAGATCTTACGTTTGCCTGTCAATTATGCACAGCTTTTGGGATCACGTTGTGTGTTGAATGGGAAACCGTTGGTTAATTTCTCAGCTGTTCGTGTCTTTTCTTTTTCTTTCTCTCTCTTTTTAAAAAGAAAAAAAATATTATATTATTAACTTGTTTTTGGTAGAGCTCGTGTTATTATTAAATATATTGTCTTGAAAAAATTTCTTTTTAACTTCTTTTGGAAAGCTAGGTTCTGCCTACGTTAAAAGATCTGCTCAGTGTGTTTACACTTTGCAGCTGTATTTTTTTTCTTCTCACGAAGTTGGTTTTTTGAGAATCACGCTTTTGTATTTGCAAAATGAAGTGGCTAAAATCAGAAAACGTGGAGTGTTGAACATAGGTACATTACTTTATGTAACATTTAATCGCCTTATGGAGTGGTTAGATTTGTTTTGGTCCCCTTGTACGACTTAGGCATTTTGGTGGGAATTGAGGGGGCTTGTGTGATTGTCCATAATTTATCATGGGCTGCATTGTGGCCGAAAGGGTCATCATGGCTTCTAATTTATATTCTGAATTTTTTCACATTCAGTGGTCCTCCCAAATTATTCAAATTCTGACTTTTTAAATGGAAATTTATCCAAGCCCCTTTATTGCTTCTATACGGATATTTCTTTTGAAGGTAGAGGTCCTACTTGTAGGACTAAACCTCAACTTCTTCCCCCACTACAAAATCCAAAACTTATAATTGATGTCTTGGAAAAATGGAGGATAAGGACATCATTGCATTTATTTTTGTTGAGAAAGAAAAGTCAATTTTTAAAAATAAAGAATTATTTTTTAAAAGTTCTCCTTCATTGCAAATTTAAAATTTTGTTTATCTTATTTTCTTGTTTCTCTCATTCTCGCTTTTGGACAAATGTATATTTGAAATATAATATTTTTTTAGGAACGTATGTGGTAAATATTTTGTTGTAATAAATTAATAAAAACTAAGTTCTTTTCCTTCTTCATTTATTCCTTCTATTTGTAAGTATATGCAATAGTAATAATCATCAAATGGGAGATCACTTTTGCTCGATTTTTCTGAGATATTTAGTTACCTTTTCTTATGTGTGTAACTTTCTCTTGTGTGTGTGTTTATAGGTTACTAAATTAAACCAAGGAATGAGTACTTCAAAAGCAATAAATGTAGTTGTGAACACTGAGACAGCTGAGGAAGAAGTAGGAGTAGGAGGGTATGAATTGTCGTTATCACTCACATTGCCAAATCCTTCACCTCAGAGAAGTAATGCTTCTTCGGGTAGTGAGATCAGTGAAGCAATCTCATCATGCCATGGCCCTGGATTTAGCAACTACAAGGACTTCTCTACTTCTTCCACTCTCAATGAAAGAATTAATTTGGACCTATCTTTGGCCCTATGTGGTAATTGATTTGGTGCTCATTGTAAAATCAATCTACTATAGGCATAATCCACTGTAGGTTTTTTTCATTTTCTTCACTAACAATTTTGGATGTCTTGTTTCTTCTGGGTATCTTTCCAAATTCCAATCACCATGTTAATTTTTATCTATTTCGAGTATTGTCCAGTTTTTCAAGAGATGAATTAAACCACGTATTGGTGTTGAGTGGCACTGTATAATGGGACGCAAACTAAATTTATAATTTTTTATTATCATGATCCTCTTTAAAACAAAATATAGTTAAACTTATAATTTATAGTTCTCTTATGTCTAGCAAATTCTTAATAATATAGATGTCTAGCAAATTCTTAATAATATATGAAGTCTAGCAATGGGTATGTATTTTTAATTTGGTCATATAATAAATTAATCAAGAGTGTCTTATGTTATAAGAATTAAATTAAGGTTTTGTATGTAATTAGGAATATCTTATACAAAGTCTCTTTAAAGCAACTAACTTAGGAAACTTTACATAAGGGAAATTGAGAATTTAAGAAATATATAAAAGTTAATATATATATATATATAT